CACTTACGTGGCTAATAGAACATCTTCGATACTTGAGATTCTTCCACGTAAGCATTGGGATCATGTTGCATCGACTGAAAATCCGGCGGATTGTGCTTCCCGTGGGATATCTCTTACAGACCTAGTCGATCATCCTCTGTGGTGGACAGGACCGAAGTGGCTAGCGGAGGATTCCGCAACCTGGAAACGAAGTGTCTTGTCCGAAGAACACGATGAAGCTACAATGGAGGTACGTAAGCGATTCCAATTCCTAAACATTTCTGTTAGCGTTCCAGTAACGACGTACGAAATCGAGAAGCAAATCCTCAATAGTCGATCGAGCTTCGGTGCAGCCTGCCGACAGTTGGCATGCGTGAAGCGGTTTATCTACAACCTGGGATTGAAGGCATTAACACGCTACGATAAACGTTCTGGTCCTATTCTGCCATCCGAGTTGCAGGAGGCCAGGTTGCAGCTCGTCAGACTGGCCCAGCACGAACACTACGAAGAAGAAGGCAAATCGTTGGCAAAGGGGAGCGAAGTCCATCCAAAATCCAAGATCTGCGGCTTGTACCCATTCCTTAATGGTACCGGCACGATCAGAGTCGGTGGACGCCTGCAGCAATCATCGTTTCCTTTCGAAGTCAAGCACCCAGTTATTCTCCCGAAGAACCATCGTCTTACGAGATTGCTGGTGGAAGAGATGCATCTACGGAACTGTCACGCGGGCTCGACACTCTTGACAGCAACAATCAATCAGACCTACTGGATCCAAGGCTGCCAACATGTCATCAAGCAAGTGATCCGGAATTGCGTCAAGTGCTGCCGACAGAAAGCGAAGATGTCGCAGCAATTGATGGGAAATCTACCAGCGGCGCGCGTAACAGCATGTCAACCGTTTAACCATATTGGAGTCGATTATGCCGGCCCGATACTGGTACGATGTAGCAAAACTCGTGGTGAACGTTGCTCGAAGGGATATATCGTCGTTTTTGTGTGCCTCTCGAGCAAGGCAGTTCACTTGGAAGTCGCAGGTGACCTGTCTACGGATACTTTCTTGGCAGCATTCAAGCGGATGATTGCTCGCCGAGGATACTGCAATGAAATCTGGTCGGACAACGGAACAAACCTGGTTGGTGCCGACCGATACTTGAAGGAAATCTATGAAGTAACTGAAGCTCACAGCAAGAACACCGAACCGTTCTTCAGCAATCTTGGCATTCGTTGGAGGTTCATTCCGCCATCCAGTCCACATCAAGGTGGCATTTGGGAAGCGGCCGTCAAAAGCGCGAAAAAGTTGCTGCAACCGGTCGTTGGAAACAAGAAGCTGACATTTGAGGAACTATCAACTGTACTCTGCCAAAAAGAAGCGTGTCTCAACTCGAGACCTCTCTGTCCGATCTCCACTTCGCCGGACAGTCTCGAAGCCCTCACTCCGGGGCACTTCTTGGTTGGGCAACCGCTAAATTTACTGCCCGAACCTGATGACACGCACCTCAAGGTGAACCAGTTGGACCATTGGCAGAAAGTTCAAAGATATACCGTCGATTTTTGGAACCGTTGGCGTGATGAGTACATCTCAACTCTGCAGCCACGAGGAAAGTGGAAAAACACTCGAGACAACATCAAGCTGGACCAGCTCGTCTTGGTCAAAAATGACAACACTCCGCCGTCCGCTTGGGAATTGGCCCGGGTATCCGCAATTCATCCCGACAAGCATGGCTTAGTTCGCACTGTCACGTTGCGTCGAGGCAAATCGCAATACCAGCGCCCAGTGCAGAAACTGTGTCCACTTCCGGATTGAGGTGACCTCAAGGCGGGAAGGATGTTTGAGAATTTTGTGACGACATCCCTATCTCCCGAGCAATCTGCGTACCTACAATACCAACTAACCTTGCTGGCGCCAAAAATCTGCCAGCGCAAAGCGAAGAGAAAACAAACAGAACACTTGTATTCGAACAGTCGAAATATAAACACACATCTGCACGTCTGCACATTTTATTTGTTACAACCGATAGGAAAATTCCGCGTTTCGAAAAACGTGTTCTCGGGTTTCAATTTTTAGTCCAGGTTCGTCTCGACCTTTCGTTTCGGTTCGTACACCAACAAACATTGAAAGCTGAAGAAGAGCTTATTCAGGCAAAACATTGTTTCTTCAGCTAAAAAATGCTTATTCAGCTTTCGATCAGCTCAAATTGCGATTTCATATTTTGTGAAGATTGTTAAATACATGTTGAAACTGAAGAAGACTTGCAAAGACTTTTTGAATTTCTTTGTAGGTGAAGATTATGATTGTTATGAATAATTTAAATACTTTCTTGAAAAAATATCTACAGGAATTTACTAAAATCTTCAATAAGCTGGAGATCCTTTGAATACTTTCCTTGCAAAACTACCATTTTGGGAGAATATCTGAGAGTCGTCATTAGGATTTATAATTTAAGGTGAATCGCTGTGGAAACCTTATTTCTGAATAATCTTACTATAACCTCGAAATTTTACAAAAATCAACTCCTTCAAAACATACAACAAACGAACTGAAACTTCACGTTTGCTGTTGTTACAGATTTCTGACTTTTATTCAACTACGAAACGATACACGGCGATGTTGGAAAAACAGCTTTCGACACTCACTCGAGCTAAAGATCATCTTCAAGGGAAATCATTTCAATTATCAATAACGAACATGTGCAGGCTGCACAGTAAAGACTGGAACGCGCAAAAATTGGTCGACAAAAAATCGTTTCTTTCAGTCAAAATTCATATCACAAAAATCTTCTTATTTTTCTTTTGGCAGTTCAATTCATATATTTAAAGGAAAAAATGTTCGTTTATTCTTTTGGGTTTGCCAAATCCGAACTGCCGTGCCTTCCGCTTAACCTCTTCCATTAAATTTTGCACAGTGGTCCCATCGACCTTATTCGCCGCCGAACGCCAGTTAGATTTAAACTTCTGCTCGTTTTCCATGGATTTATTAGTTTTCTTTAGATTCCGTTTGACCAAGGTCCAATACCGTTCGATAGGGCATAGTTCTGGGTCTTTGGGTACCACAACCACGTTGTTCGCATCGTACCACTCGATTGCCTTTTTTCCATAGTGGCAGCTCGCCAAGTCCGGCCAGAACAGCACAGGTCTATTATGTTGCTTTAGGAATGGTAACAGCCGCTTTTCCAAGCACTCCTGGACGTAGATCTCTTGATTGATGGTTCCCATAGTAATGAAAATGCCGCTTTTTAGACCACACGTGCATATGGCCTGCCAGACGAGATATTTTTTTTCGGGAACTTCGATAGTTTGATGGTTTTGAAAATTTCAGCCACCTTCCCTTTTCCTGATACGGTATAAAACTCCTGTCCCGGAAGCTGCTTGAAATCCGCCTTCACATAAGTTTCGTCGTCCAGTCTCAGTCGAACTTTGTGAGCAGATTCGTATACAGCTTTCGGGACCACCGCTACTTTGTCGACGTGTTTTGTTTGTAATCTCGGTTCGCTACCTTCGCCTTTTTAAACGTCGACAACCCGGCTCGTTTCTTGGCCGGCTGCACAGTAGTATGGGAGACATTGAGCTTGCCAGCGACGTCCCGGATGGAGAGTTTAGGATTCCACTCATATTTCACCGGCACCTTCTTCGTCGTCGCTGCCACGGCTGGATTACGATTGCCGCCGCTTCCAGGGGCCACATTTCGAAACGAAACAGTTTTTCATACAAGCATTCGTACAAAAAGTGTTTCGTTTCGAGATGCGCAATGTGGCCCCAGGCTTCCTGGCGGTCCACAGACGCTCCCCGAACACCTTTGAAACGTTTGTCACGTCACGTTTGTCGCCACATCCAGCAATTTTGCCAACTTGGCGTGTGAGAACGTCGGATTCAAAATTTTGACACGCTGCTTCTCTTGCTTGGATGTCATTTTGAAAACTGGAGAGCAAACGGTGAAAACTCATCATAGCAACCATTGTATATACACTTAACTTCCAAATGCAGCATTTCAAGATTTGTTTATGCATTTTTAACAGAAATACACCAATTTGAAATTGACCAATTTTTGCGCGTTCCAGACTTTAGTGCAGCAAGCATGGAGCTCTGATTTCATGAGCGATATCGGAACAGTGTCCGAGAACACCTGAAGTGGCAGGGCATATCAGCCATCAAGACGGTCATTTGTGGACTCTTCATTTTCAGAATAATTATCCAGCGGACTTTAAGGAAATTTTCGTTCAGTTGGAGATCCTTTGAATACTTCCTAATCAACCAGCAGTCTGAATTTATGAACAATTGGAGATCTTCAGAATACTACTTGATCACTCTTTTGAAAAAATATCCTGATGACTTAACTGAAATAATCGTCTACCTAGGGATCTTTTACATTACTTCCTAAAAAACCTGTCGTCTAGGGAAAATATTTGAGAAAATATCCTATAACTTCTACAACTTTCACTGTACATAAACAAAATTTCGCGTTGCTCATCATTACAGCTAATCGCTAGTTGTGACCTTCTGAAAGCAAAATTGACAAATTTTATGTGTCATATACAATCTTTACCACCTCTTCTTGCATCTTACAAATAATAATTATCATTATAGTATCCCATTGTTTCATAATAACGAAAAATAGCATTTTAGCTGTAATGAGCAATTGCAAGCCTGTCTCTAAATTCTCGTTTTGAATATAATTCAAGTTCAATTCAATTCATCAGGTTTCGAAGGGGTTAAATGAAAACACAAGCGTTCTCGCACTGCACGGCCAATGAGAACGACCCAAATTTAAGTTTAGTTCACTCATAATCGCCAAAAGTGCAGGTAAATTTGCCTCATCTTTTCCTTTGGAAAACCTAAAAAATCTGCCGGAAAACGAGGAAAATTTACGAAAACTTTACTCAGTCTAGGAATAGTACCAATAGACTGAGTGAATTCAATCTTTACTTTTCTGATATTCGGGATTTTTTCCTGGACAAATTTACTCATCGCTTCCTGCAATTTGTGATTTATGATTAAACTTAACTCAAATTTGGGTCGTCCTCATTCGCCGCGTAGATACGAAATCCAATTCTCGCATAAAATCAATTTTTATTTCTCTTATCCTAGAGCAAAAATACACTTATCATATTATAAGAAGCAACACCCTTCCCTTTGACCCCATGTAACTGCCTTCTTACTCTTTCGATGCCATCAGCCACATCAGATTGCCGGTGAACTTTTCTATTCTCTTCAGATCCGACAGGACCTCCGTTTTGAACTGCACGCACTTCACGTTGTCGGTCAGCTTCAGCACGACGGCTGCCTTCTTGTGGGTGTATTTCATCGTAAACCGACACTGGCACGGGTTGGCAATGTACATGTTCTCGGCGGCAATCTCGAAATCTTCCCACGACTTGGAGAACACCATTTTTATTTACGTTTCCTGCTCGTGCTGTGTCGGGAAATCGAAGGCAGCGAAAATCACGGTGCTTTTCCGAGTGTATAATTTTTTGTTGACTGTGCGAACGCGGCAGAGCGAGCTGCTGATGTTCTGTTTTGACAGCTAGAAACGTCCGCAAAAGTGGTGAGTTGTCAGCTCGCAAAGGAGAGGGGGTTTGGGCCTCGAGTGCCGAATGGGTGCGAGAGCGAATGACGGTGTTTATTGAAGTTTTAAAAATATCAATAAATATTAATTATAATTATAACGTTTGATATTAAAATCCTTTAATTTTGGATAGCCCACTTGTAACTTCGGATTAGTGGTGCGAGGGCAATATTAACTCAGGGTGTCGACTACTTGAAAATTCAGGGAATCTCGGGGAATTTAATTTAATTACTTGGAAATATTTCTTAATCTTTATTCATAACTGCATTACAAACCATAATAACCGACGATCCGACATGTCACTTTCGTTTGTCCGCAATTCGATTTGGCAAACAGGTGACTAGATCTGTCAAACGAGGCGAGACGTACACCAAGTCAATATTAATTTTACGTGTGTTCTTGTCCTTGCTCATGATATGACGCGATCGGATGAGTAGATGGCAGGAGTGTTTAACGTACCGTAAGGCGGATTGAGATTGGGTCTGGGGGGTGACATTTGGCCAAAATTAAAAGTTTATCGGTGCAAATATCTTCTTTTTTTTTCCTTTGGTTTGTTTTTTCTGTCGATCTTGTTTTCCGTGCTGAGCACCAATGCTACCGACGTGCCAGGAAGGCAGCTCCCACACCTGGACCCTACCTATCGACCCATCAATTCATGAACCGGGGACCAACGACTTTACTTCCCATCCGAAAGAAGGCGTGATCAGAGTTGTTATGCCTCAGAACATCCCGGCGGCGCCGACTGGGATTAAACCCAGGCCTGCTGCGGTGAGAGGTAATCACGCTTACCACTACACCACCGGCGCCGTTATGCAAATATCTTGAATATACAAAAAATATGGCTAGAGTGTGTTCCTTGAACACCTGTGGTAAAGTGTAGATAACATTTACCTGTTGTTTTATTTAAATAGTAAAGTTAAGTGTCATAAATAGTAACAAAAATACGTTTTTTTTTTTAAATTGCCTCATGCAAACAATAGTTTGAACCTAGGGGTATCCCACTCTAAACTTTAGTACTAGTATACATTAAATACGTTTAAATCTCTCATAGGTATTCTAAAGTATTTTTAAGTATTTTAAACTTGCATAATTTCCATCGTAGTTACCGGTTGCTAGTGTCGTTGGTTGTTGTTGTAAGCCCCGTCAATTTTATAGTTTTCGTCACTTATGAAATGAAATTAATTCCTGTTTTAATCTATTTTAATTGCAATAAAATCATGATAATTGGTAAATGTATTTCAATTAGGCTTATCTAATAGTGTAAAAAAATCGTGTTGTTCAAATTACTGATGCTTTAGAGTAGAGAGGTTCTAGAACCTCTCTAGTTTCGAGCAGACTTTCCAGTGCGCTATCATGAATTTGGACTCCTTTACAGAGCTGTTCCATATTCCTAAGAAAATAAGGAACAAGGAATAAGGTATGGAGAAGAAAAAAAATCTTGGCTATACCTATACAAGTCAACGATATCAGGGTTACGCTGCGCATTTCCTGTCGAACTACGACGATGAAACGAACCTTTTACAGTAGGAAATTGTGCTGATTGCATTACGCTTTTCGGGTTAGAAAACAGTGTTACTTTAGACTGGTGAAGTAGTTTAATTGACATTTTGCAGTCGATGTTTTCATTTGAACATAAATTTCCCAGTTTAAGTAATTGGAACCACCAACGACAAGGTGCTGGTGATTGAGGATTTATAAAAAAAACCCTAGCATCGCTATCATTCTGATCCGTAGTGGCAAATAGATTATCCCGGTTGAATCGAAGCGGTAGTTAAAAATGAAAGGTACATTGGGGTAAATGAAAAGTGGTGGGACAGTGGGTAAATGTCCAACCCATTACGGAACAAAGGATATTAAAAAAAAATGAAAGCAGTTTAATAAATTTTAGTGGGTAGACAACAATTACCCACTTGCGCCACCAATTTATAACTTATACTGTTCGATCTTTCCTGAACGTGACATGTTAAAGAAGTTGATTGGTTTGTTGTTTTTATTCAAAAGTTTGAATAATCGATACTTATTTATTCACATGTCATGTGTTGAAATAAATTGATTAAATTTAAGTTTTACAATCGTTGCTGTTAGTTAATAGAATCAATGAAAAAATTAATTCTACTTCAACACATAGTAGATATGGCTTATCAATCATGTCCAGCTCTAATAATGGTTTAACAGATGAGAATTGACGGTTCCAAATCCGAGAAAATGTAGTTCATATTTACAACATGTTTACTATGTGCGCCATAATTCTGCGCATTTCGCCAAAATGTTGTAGTGTTTTACAGTTTTATCTTATTTTATATTTTTACCATGCACAAGCGGCTAATACCTACCATCGTGTTCAATTCAATTCAAATTATATACAATTTCAAATTATTTTTGAAATTTTCAAAACAGGCTCTTTACGGCAGAATAAACACGTTCGGTGGGAAGCTACAAGATGAAACAGATGCCAGAAGCTCGGCAACAAGTACAATGCGAATGGTTTGGAAAACCTTCACAATTTCTTGTTCAGATTCGATAGCCCTAAGAGTCTTAAGTTAGTGTTACATGGCCTAATCATAACGGTCGAAAAGTACTTAATCTTATAACGCAACCATCGATAAAACCAAACAAACAACGAAGGGAAAGGTTCCATGATTGTCAATCTGACTTCTTCCTGTAACATGTCGAACGAATCATCCTAAATGCGCATCAACGTGTGACATATTTAATAGTGCAGTATAATGCGAAAATGATGGAATCGGTTTCTACATTGGAGAAATAATCAGCGGCTGTTTTTTCCACCGTTGATGACATTAATTTATAGGTGAATCATTTTTGCAATGATCTTCTCTTATTCCAAGACCATATCTTGATGCCTACAAAACAAAAGAAACATTTAAAATAGCTGTTAAAGCTTAAAATATTAATGCGTCAGTTTTCAAATATTCACACAAAATCCTTGACGACATCCGATAAATAAACAACTAAAATGTGTTTAGCAACGGTGGTAACAACCTAATGCAAAATATAGGTTAAGTATTTTTAAGTATTTCCAGGTATCTTAGGTATTTGTAAAAACTTTCTGAGTATAACGCGAGAAATATAAAGTTTAGAGTGGGATGCCCCTAGGTTTGAACACACTTTTATGCGGATAGATAAGGATTACACGCGATCATAGCCCTAATAAAAATACCATTAACGAACGATAACCAAAATTATAGAACCATTCGACAAATGATTTGGATGACACCCCGAACACGTCGTTAAGGAAAATAACCATACACATTCTAGGGAGGCCATACATGCGAAGTACATTGTGATCATAACCAAGTGTGCTACGTTACATTTACACATTTTAAGATATTTTAACCAAATTTATATTTTGGCCCAAGGTTTTTCGTTGGTCTATTTTTTAATTAATTTTAGTAGAATGAGATATCAATTTCAATCAACCACTTCCATGACAGCCGTAAATATATCATTGCATGCTTAAAATTGTGTTTCTTGTTAAAAATGTGATTGTTGGAATGTAGGAAACGAAATTTTTCGATTTTTTGGCCATTGTCACGCCCACTTATGGTATTTAATATATGGCATCTTGGGCAAGAATGTAATTTGAATGTAGCTTTTATGAGTCAGTTCGTCGGTGAATGATATCACCAATCATGTAGGAAAGTGAAGAATGATTTTTTTTAGAAGGCTTAGGCTTGATTGAGCAAATTAAATCCAGGTCCCGAAGATACGTGCTCAACTTTTTGACTCCGCTCTGGAACTATCTTCGGTCCCAAGCTAATCGATGCACCCCTCGAAACATAAGAAAATACATGAACCCCTCATTTTATCTGTCAAACTTTCATAGCAAATCAAAACAAACATAGTGTAGTACTAGAATTTCGACTAGAATGGGGTACGATAATCGTTTGCTTGGTACCAATAGGTTAGTCAAGTAGTGAGCCAATTTAAAATCGATAGTTTCGAATTGATTGTTGATTCTACCACCTACCCACAAAAACACACGCAAAACACCTTGGCATGCAGGCTGTCACCACAGATAAGGTTTTATGTCTAATGGACTTAGCCATCATCATAAACACTCATGGGGTCAAGACGTTTATCCGTCCGGTGAGGAAAATCGGGAAGAATTCACGAGGAGAGTTCATACACAAGTCCGCTACCGATGAGCTTGACAGACTTCGACTCAAGATTTCGGCATATTTTTATAATCCGTGTAGATTTTGTATTATTAATAAATATTTTGAAAGCAGTTCCGAACATTTCGTAAAATCAGTAATCACATTTAATCAGTTATTTAATACTATACTATACTATATTCTAGAAATAGTAAATAGTATTTATTATACTTAAGAAATATTTTGAACTGTCCATCAGGTTTGCAGAAAAGGGGTTTATGACTATGCGAAATTTTTACTCCATTGAAGCTACCGGTGCGGTCAACTTGAGCCCTGAAAAATGACAGGATATCGAAAACTACGTCACGCTCGCCAATACATTTAAAATAATGCAAGAAGATACCGCAGCTGGCAGGATTGATTTGTAAACTGTATCTGTTTGTATCTGTTGTATGTATCAGACAGTATATTGAATTGAGCACCTCGTGCGATAGCAAGAAGAACCATTCTCGCAAAAATCCACCATAATCCAGATGTTCTTCCCCTCGGAAGATGATGTACAGCCTTCGCCGTAGTTCGTAAGCTCGTAGTCGCCTGATTTGGTGGTAGGAGTCTTCAAACAAAGTTTTCCGGGTCAGCGTAATCTTGATATGGGATACGAGGTGCCGGAATTGGCTGAGCTTTCATCAGAAGGACCGTTCGTAGGCTCGTGGAACTCCGTAGACAGCTTTTCCACCCTTCGGTGCACCAGGCCGTGGGTCTTCAAATGTAGTTT